GGACACTGCATCTTCTAATTATCGATGAGATTATTGATTATTCCAGGCCAGGTTGGACAGGGCTTGGAGCAATTTGGGATAGTGGAAGGTGTCCCTGCCATGGCAGGGGTAGAACAAGCTGAGCTTTAGGGTCCCTCCCAACCCAAACCAGTCTGGGATTTAACCAAGTGACTTCTCACAGCTCTGAAATCCATCTACATCTCTCAAACCAACATTTGTCAGCAAAGTTAAAGATCTGTGTTATCATAAATTCTCTCTCTTAGCCAGAACGCCCCCACAGCTCCTTCAGTCCTGACCTACCCAAGGCACAAAGATCTGGGAATTCTGTACCACAAAGCAACAGCAGAAATGGTTTTTTTTTTTGTTTGTTTTTTTTTCATTTATCTGATGGAATTTATCTATTTTTTTTTTCATTCCCTGCTCTTGCAACCCAACACTCTTAAATTAAATATTTATCTAATATTAATCAGATAAATATTCATCAGCTCCAAATCAAAGGTCTCCTCAGTAAGTGGAGTGAGTCGGTACTGTGGAAATACTGATTTTTTTTTATATGGCACTATTATTCAAATCAGACCAGCACTACTGAATTTCACACCTTCACAAAGCCCAGCCTATCACACAAATGTGGACTTAAAACACTTTTGATTAATATTATTTAAAAATCAACGTAAAATACTGAATGGTATCAGCCTGATTTGGGAAGAACACATTTCCCTGTGTGCCTGTTTTCCAAAGGATCTCCACTGGCAAGCTGCCAGCACTAAAATAGCTGCATTTATTCCATCACAGGTGTTTTGGAACAAGCACCAAAGCAACCAAGCTGCAGCCAAATAACAGCAGAGATGCCCCTCAGGGAGGGGATGTTTCTCTCATGATCTGCTCTGGAAATCCCCTTTCTCTCTCAAAAGGAGGAAAAAAAGAGGAGGTTTCTTGGCAGTGTCTCCAAAACTCATTTATAAACCACGTGTCCAATCAGCAGCAACAACAGAAACCTGCTCAGAAGGGATAATTTGGGATATTTGACATGTACAGCTCAGCTGATGATGGAAACACCTCAAAATTACATCTTTAAGTTATCCAAAGCACCATTTTATAACTTTTATAATGTTTTATAACTTCTCCACCAATGAAGAACAAGCATACCAATTATTTTTTCTGCCTGTCACCAGAAAAGGAAAAAATGCTTTTAGATTTTAAAACTCTAAAGCAAGGAACTTTTCCCAGTCAAGGTTTTGAACATCACACTCAACTCCACAGGACAAACCAGCCAAATTCTGTTGTTACCTGTGCAATTCTTGACTTGTGCTTCAGATCTCTGCCAACAAAACCAGATCTGGGACATTTGTCAATTTATTTTGAGAAAAGTGCCAAACTCATCCCAATTCCCCCACAACATCCCTTGAAATCCTCACTAAACTCTTCCCTTTATTCTCAACTACCTGATGCAAATGTGAATTTTTTGTGTGATCCCAAGTTCAACAACTCTGCCCAAACTCCCCCTTCTTCCACAGAATTAAGGCAATAAAACCAGCCACAAAAAACACAAAAGGATTTTAATTTGAGTCATGAACACATAACATGTCCTCTCAAGGCAGAATTACCAAACTGAAATTCAGCAGCTGAGAAACAGCGTGAGTTGACCTAAACAAGCTGTCACTATTTATTAGGGACATCCACACAATAAAATGTGGTTATTTAAATAAAAGGAATCAAACCACATAAATAGAAAATACCAGAAAATTCCACTGGCCATGACTTACAAC